GTAGGTATCGCTCCCATCACCTTTCCATTTGCTCTCCAATGGCTGGGAAGCTACTGATGTACAAAGCATCACCGATAATCTTGGCAAGTGTCTTTCTCATCTTTCCAGCACTTCTGTTTCTTGGCATTCAATTCACCAGCAGAGCAATTGCCTCTTTACTTTTGGGCCAATCATCTCTATGACTATAATTGCCCCTTTACGCTGGTTTAACTCAAGCTTGCTCTTCATTGGTCTGGCAGTACATAGGTTGGACCTAATGATGTTCAATATGAGATGCTGCTCCATCTCCCTGATGCTTAGCTTACCTTTTTATAAGCCTGAAAAGGATCCCAAGTTGCCTTCTAATTATCATCCAATTGCTTTGACTAGCTGTCTCTGTAAGTTTTCAGAGAGGATTGTTAATGCTAGTCTTGTTTGGTTCCTTCAATCAAACAATCTCCTCTTGCCCACACAGCGTGGGTTCTGTTGACAGTGCTCCACCATGGACCACCTGACTTGACTTGGAACTTTGATCAGGGCTACCTAGAGAGAACATCTTGTTTCTGTCTTCTTTTTTTTTTATTTTGAGAAGGCTTATGTTACTACATGGAGGTACATGCAAGACTTCCATTCATATGGGTTGCATGGCCATTTGCCCTTTTTTATTTTTACTTCACAGGTGATTCCAAGTCCGTGTGGGTACAACCCATTCTTGTTCTTTCACAAAGAAACTTTGAGTCCCTCAGGGCTGTGTCTTGAGTGTCACACTTTTCAGTATCAGGATCAATGCCAGTACTCAACAACTTCCTCCTACTGTTGCAAACAGCCTCTATGTTGACAACGTCCACATTTCTTGTCAGTCATTGAGTATGGGGTTTATTGAGTGGCAGCTTCAAAATGCCTTCAACCACTTGTTGAAGTGGACCACAGCAAATGGTTTTACCTTTTCTTTTTCCAAAACCATTTACATGCACTTTTGCCACCAGTAGGGTTTAAATTCCTATCCTGAGCTCCATCTAAGTGATGTTGTTCTTCACATAGTCACTGGTTCAAAGTTCTTGGGGGTTATCTTTGACCGTAAGCTTGCTTTCATTTCTCACATCAAGCAGGTATGTGTGAAGTGTACAAGGGCACTGAACATCCTTTGTGTCCTCTCTCCCAACTCTTGGGAAGTGGATCAATGTTCTGTGCTAAAGATTTATCATGCCCTCATTTGATCCAATTTGGACTATGGGTTTGTGGTTCTACCAGGGCCTCTGCCTTGAAGATGTTAGACCCCATTCACCATCTGGGGCTTCAGCTATGCATGAGGGCCTTCTGCATTTCTCCAGTCCAGAGTTTGTACACAGAGTCTCGTGAACCTCCTCTTTACCTCTGTTTGCAACTTTCTCTGCAGTATGCTACCAAGCTTCAATCCTTACCACAGCATCCCACCTGGGGTTGTGTCTTCCTTCCTCACTGGGCTATGCTCTTTCAGAACAGTTGGTCTGTTATTCTTTGTTTTGGCCTTTGAATCCATCACAGCTGGCTGAATTGGGTCTGTCATTGGATGAAGTTGCTGTCTCCAATGATCAGCCCATCCCACCATGGCTTATTACCATTCCCACCTTTAACCTTTCTATGAGTCATTTGAGGAAGGCAGATACTCCTGATTGAAAGTACCATCTTCTCTTTGCAGAACATCTTTCAGACCATTCATCTTTTTCCATTTTTACAGATGGTTTAAAATCAGGTGACTCTATGGGCTCTGCCATGATTTGTTGTGGCTTGGTGTTTGCTAACAGGATCCCCTCTACAGTTCACTGCTGAGTTGTATTCCATTTTTCTTACCCTGGATCACATAGAAGCTATGCAGTACACTGATTGTACCATTTACACTGACTCTTTTAGATCTACTGGTCCTGAAATCGCTTCAGGTCAGTTCTCACCCTGTTCTCTTCAATAATAAAAAATGACTGGCCCATTTTTCTTCATCTTCCATTACCATCCAGTTTTTCTGGATACCTGGCCATGTTGGTATTCAAGGAAATTAATTCAATCACATCTCAGTTAAGTCTGTCTTCTCTGGTGCTGTCACAACCATGCCTATCCCATATATGGACTACAGTCCTATATTCAAAGCATGGCTTCTTGCCAGTTGACTTGGGGTGAGCAACATTATAATAAGCTTTTCCAGATCAAACCTTCTGTTGCTCTTTGGCCGTCTTGTTTCCGGAAGGATCGAAAGGAGGAAGTTGTCCTGGCTAGGCTAAGCACTGGTCACAGTTTTTTAACTTGTTTTCTTTTATCTGGTACTGACCCACCAATGTGTAGCCTTTGTGACACTCAAGTCACAATAGCCCACATTTTATTGTCATACCATCGTTATGACTAAACGACGGCACAATCTTAGACATGTTTTCTAAGGATTTAGCCCTGACATTGGACGGTGTTATTGGCGATGGTGACACTGTCCAACTTGATTGTATTCTTAGATTTTTATGAGCCATTGGTCTTTATAATTCTGTTTAAGTCTTTTATCAGATTTTTTGCACGTTTTGCAGTTTTAACTTGATTCATGTTTACATTTTATTGAATTTTACTTTTTAAGATTTTACCAATTGTTTTTCACAGATAGCCATGTTGCTTTGTGGCATAAAATGCTAAACAATAAACCAACTCTGCTGATCATTGGATTGAATAAATTGGGGTCAGTTTGCTTTTAAAAATTTACACTTTTGCACTGTTTCCAGAGCACTGTTCCTCAAGACTTCTCAATGCACATTACCCCCAGATTCTACTAGTGGAGCTTAGGAGTCCTTATCACACCCGGGTTCCAGTCACTGGGGTGGTGGACAGAGGCTTTTCATCCAGAATGTTAGAATGAATTTCCTCCATGCTTGAAGAGAGGGGAAGTTTGGGGCTTCCTATCCAGCTCCCTGGTTGTTTTTTTTTCCAGGTGTTGGTAGGAGAGGCACAAGTATACACGGGAGCCTACTCGTATTACCATTTCAGATTTTATGCTTGGGTTGAGCGTGGCCCTTGTATTTGATCAATGTTGGTTTGGTACATTGTACATGGAAAAGGGTTTGTTGTCTCCTCGTATTTCCGAATACAGAGTGGTCTCATCCTAAGTCATTGGTTAAGTACAGTTTGTTCCATGTACTCCCCATAATTCCAGGGGCAAGTGGAATTTACCTTGCCCACATAGTTGGAGAGTGAGGATGAGTGTTCATAATTTCAGACTGGATAAGTTCTTTTTCCTCAGTTTCTGAGCCTGGGGTGTTGCCTTTTATTAATGAAAATACATTTTTGATTTAAGAAAATGTTAAATTTCATTGGTTACAGTGTTGTAGAATGTACACAGGGATCCAAATATTACATTCCCGCATTCCTTAGAAATTTAACTTTGCTTGGGGAATTTCATCTTTTTAGTTGGCTTTCCAGATTAGAATGCATGGTCCATCCGTGTTCCTTTAGTTATGACCACTGAATATGAACATATTGCATGGATTAATTAAAAAACAATTCATGAGGAAATGCAACTTTACATGAGGGATTGTAATCCTCCTGATACACCACATGGATATCCACATTACATTCTTTATTAATAAAAGTAGATTCATCAGATTGCCAGCTTTTTTAATTTCTTCATGATTTCATTAGAGAAGTAGGCTCAGTTATTCATATTTTCTAGAATTCTGTATAATTTAAAATTTTTTTCACACTTCACAGAAATCATTTTATATTTAAGAAAAGTAAATAAAAATGTTCTAGTCTTGTTAATAAATTGGGTTACTAGAAACACATATTTTTGGTTTTGTAGTAGTAAATCAGTATAAAAGTAATAATGTAAACCAGAGTTTGTAGTATATTTAAAGTTAAAAAGTCAACCCTGTGTCCTTTCCATTTGATAAAATTTAGAATGTGTGAGACTTGCAAACTGTTATCTTGTCTAACACAAGGTTCAGTATGCCAGTGTGTAGTTACAAATGTACTGCAGTTGTATATTCTGTTCTTGAGTATTACATAGATAGCATGGGAAAACGTGCTTTGTGATATGATTCATTCACTGTGTTCCAAAGCATTTAATATTAGAAGATCAAAATATTGAACTTGTGGTTTTCTGCATTGGTTGTAAAGAAATATATGTAGTGCTAATCAATTTTTTTGAATGAAAAATTTGATGGTGACAGAAGGAGCACTCCCTTGCTTCAGAACCTGACAGATACAATAAATGGATCACACATGGCTACTTGGCCCATCAAGAATCTTTAGAGACTGATTATCTTGGTAATTAGCATTAAATACTGACAGTTACAGAGGTTCACAAGTTAACTGATGGAAATGAATAACAGACATCACAAATATATTTTTTAAAACGAGTAATGGCCTTTGGTTAATTTGTTTTGTGCACCTGTGCTTGTGATGGGTAGTCATAAACAAGTTACTTCTAACATATAGATTAATAAAGTAAGTTTGTAATTAATTGTTGTTATTTCACATATTACATATGAGTTGTTTTCAAACAAATCAAAAGTAATAAAAAATTAAAATTTGAACATGTAGTTTTGGATACATATCTGCATATATATATATATATATATATATATATATATA